CTAATTCATTATCCAGAAATTTCTCTATTCATTACTTTCCCCAGGGTTCACAGCAGCAACCCCTTTCAACATCTGCAGGCCCTAAGAGATCTGGCAGCTTCCCTACGCTCTTCATATTAGTTTTCATGCTATACAAAGATAAATTCTTGCTACAAAACATTAGAAAGGTGGTTTGTTCATTCAACATAAGGACTATATTGTGTCATTATCACATACAAAATGTCACAGAAGGCAAATTTTACTAGAAAAAAAGCCACATCTTTCATTAATGTAAATCTTCCTCAAGCTCCCTGTCTTGGTGGTGGAACCACTGCATACAGAACTGACACGGACATGGCTTTCAGAGGCCAAAGGTGTGATGGCAACTCTGTGCCTGGCATGGCGGACACTTTGCCTTTCATCATGAAGATTCTACAATGAGTTCTCACATTCAGCTTGATGTCACACATCAAGATATGTCTACCATGCTTCTTTCACTTGAATAAGAAAAGCCTCTGTTGCAGGTTTCCCCTCCATTAACTGACAAGAGATCATTCAACAGGTTCCTACTATGAGTTTGGAGGCAAGATTTCCCTCAAGAGAGCACACCATGACCCCTTATATTATTGACCTAGCTAGCATAAAAAGATCCCCTAGGTTTAGTTCATATTAGAAAACAGTGCCCAAAAGGAAAATGAATTAGCTTTCACAACAACATGTGTACTCTAACAATGTGCGTCACCAGTGTGAATCAGTGGGTTCATCACTATGAGACATCTGTCACCAACAGACTGAGAGGAATCAGTTTATTTACAAGAGTGAGAAAATAAGGACAACAGTTTTCAAGTTACATCCCTTTCTTATCAATTTAACTCCATAAACTTTCTAGTTTTTACTATTTGACTAATTTTCAGTGACCGATTAAAGTTTATAGTATGTGATCTACTGAATAACTACTTCATGGATGGACTGCATGGCCTAAGACAAGGGTTCTCTACCTTTTTCTTTCTGAGGCCCCCAAACACGCTATAAAAACGACATGGTCCACCTGTGCCACAATAACTGGTTTTCTGCATCTAAAAGCCAGGGCCGGCATTAAGGGGTAGCAAGCAGGGCAGTTGCCCCATGCCACAGGGGCACCATGAAGCTAAGTTGCTCAGGCTTCTGCTTCAGCCCCAGGTGGCGGAGCTCAGGACCTCATGCTTCACGACCATGCAGTGCACCTTCAGCTTTCTGCCCTGAGCCCCGGCAAGTCTAACACTGGCCCAGCTTGGCGAACCCTCTGAAACCTGCTCGCAACCCCCCAGGGGCGTAGGCCCCTGGTTGAGAAACCACTTGCTTCAGAGGTCTTTGCCATCTCTAGATTTTATGATTCATATGTGCTCTAATTTAAAAAAAAGAAAACAACAAAACACAAAACAAAAACAAAAACAAAAAAACCCTACTTCACGGAGGTTTTTCTCCCCAAGGAATTTCACAAATGAGGGATCTAAATCTGGATCACTGCCTTTTTCTTAAATGGATTTTTAAAATTCTTTGATAGAAACTATTTGTCTTCCAACTGTTCCAGCTTTTCTGTTGACAGTGACTTGCAATTTTGAAAAAAATATTTAACTACTGTAGTTCTATGTGCTGAGTACACCAAACAGGACAAAAGCAGTATTATTCATCACAAAAGGAGATAAAAATAAAAATAATAAAAAAATCATAAATAGCAGTAGAGCAGAGTGGTTAAGTACAGTAGCTGGAGTAGATCTGAAAATTCCAAGAGAATATCAACTATTAAGAAGATCAGTTCTAGGATTACCTGAATGATGACTATTATCACCGATTCTGTCTGCCAATTTATATGCAGGGTAGGAGTTACTCTGTAGCCAATACTTTGCTATTTTCAACCCACTCAAGCCTGTGGCTCTTTAATGAATTATTATAGGTGAGACTGGTACTGCAGCCTAATATTAAGATTGCCCAACACATCCCACTAAAAGGATGCTTTTAAAACTTTGCCAGAGTTTAACCATTTGGACTGATTTTCTGCGCCTGCGGTCTGTCTCATGCTGAATTGTTTTGGAAAATTTCAGTCAAAACAGCTCAGCCATTTCAGAGGAGACTCGGGGGTGGGGGACAGGGAAGTGTTTTGCTATCCTTTGGAATAGGGAACTTGAAATTTGGCAGCGGTGGCCTTTGTGCCAGGGATGCCCCCCCTTTTTTTTTTTTTTTTAAATTACCATCCCCATTAAAGACTATCCGTATTTGACATTTTAAAAAAAGTTGGAGTTTACACATGCTTATCAGAGACTCCACTCTTGGGATGAGCAGGACTTTTCCCCACACTTTCAGCCTGCTGGTGCCAAGTCTGGTCACCTAAACTGAGAGCATGGGAACCTGTCTCCCCAATGTTCCCAAATGATTTCCCCTGCTCCTGACTGGAATGCAGAAGGGATAAGAGCTGGACTAAGGAGTGGGGAATGGAACAATGGGACTGGATGGATAGAGAAGACAAACTCGTTGGGCAAGGAAACTAAGGCTACATCTACAATACAGACGGGATTGCCGCTCTGAGATCGAGCCACCGATTTGTGAAGACCCGACAAATCGACAGCAGATCGCTCTCCAGTCGACCTCTGTACTCTACCTCCGACGAGAAGAGTAAGGTAAATCAACAGGAGGGGGAAGAGGAGAAGACAGACTGAGATCACATCCATCCACCCAGGGGCAGGAACTACTGGCTGGGCGGTAAGATAGGTAAGAAACCTAAAGAGTGAAGCCTAGGACTGGCTAGGTGAGGAGAATGCGAGCGGGAGTGGGGAAGAGACAGGACTGGGACATGGACAGGTTGGAGTCACGTTTGGGGAGCTCGAAGAAGAATCTGTGCCTACTAGAGCATACTCCCCACCAGAGCATGGAATGGAGCCCAAGAATCCCAAGTCTCACCACTACTCTACAGTCAGCAGATACCTGTGAAATCCACTGGCAATTTTCCATCCCCCTCCACATAGAGGATGACAACCTACTACTGCTATCAGTTATTCTGTTAGTTCATGTGGCAGAGGTCTGTTTAGTTGGTCTCAAGTTTCCAACCCTGCTAATGACTTATGTGGGTGTCAATATGCCGCCATATGATGGCATTTGTTTTTTCAGTGTGCCTTAAAAAATTAAAACAAAAACAAAAAAAGCCCCCCTCTACACACAACCCAGGAAGTTACACAGAGAACTATGTTAAAAGAACATTAGGATTGCAAAGTTAAGATCTCACAAGTTAACTGCCAGAATTAAAGTTCCTACCTATGCAACCTTAATTCAGGCATCTTCTGAATATGCATTATGATTAAGGCTATGATTTAGTCATGGAGGTCGTGGAAGTCACAGAATCCGTGACTTCCAGTGACCTCCATGGACTTCAGCCTGCAATGGTCGGGAGCTGGGGGGAACGCCAGGCCACCGTGGGCAACCCCCTGCAGCTCCTGGCCCCCAAGGGCAGTGGGGGACCTCCACAGCTCCTGGCCCCTGCGCAGCTGCCCCGCTTCAGACAGTGTGGGGACCCGCAGATCCCCATTTTGTCAGGTATATTTTTAGTAAAAGTCACGGACAGGTCATGGTTTCGTGAATCTTTTTTGTCCATGACTTTTACTAAAAATATCCATGACAAAATCTTAGCCTTAATTATGATAGTGTCTTTAACTACTTAATCACGTGTAATTTTTTCCACAAAAACCCTGCCTCCTTCCATGTACCATAGGATGCTGCTCACTAAATGGCAGCTATTCAATGTTTTGTTTTATCTTTATTATTCAGTGTGTGGCTCTGCTTATTTGCTTAACACTATTCAAATCCCACCCTGAAGACAACTATTAATTTCCTTGCAGGCTTTTCTGGAGTAGTCATCACTATAGCATCTGAGCGCTGCACAAACATTAATCTAGCTTCACACGGCAGCTATGAGATGAACGGTATTATTACCCCCATTTTATAGAAAGGAAATTGAGACACTGAGACCAAGGTCAAAAGTATTAACTAATTGTGTACCCAAATTAAGACATCTAGGACCTGATTTCTCAGAGTATTTAACATTATATATTATATATACTTAATATTCAAATCACAGATTTCGTTGACTTCAGTTTCAGCTGTGAGTGCTCAGCAACTCTGCAAGTCAGACCTCCGGGTCCCATGTCAGGCTCCATATAATGAGGCAGTCACAATTAGTGATCACCTGTAAAAATTGTGACTTAGGGTACATGCAGACTACCTACCGAATCGGCAGGGAGTAAGTGATCTATTGGGGATCGATACATCACGTCTCATCTAGACGTGGTAAATCGATCCCTGAACGCATTCCCGTTGACTCCAGAACTCCACCAGGGCGAGCGGCGGTAGCAGAGTTGACGGGGGAGCCACGGCCGTCAATCCCGCGCCGTGAGGACCCGAGGTAAGTCGAAATAAGATATGTTGACTTCACCTACACTATTCCTGTAGCTGAAGTTGCGTTTCTTACATCCCCCCTCAGTGTAGACCAACCCTTACATGGCCTGTCCAGCATCACATAGGAATTCTGTGGCAAGGGAAGGATAAAATCCAATTCTCCAGGAGAGCATTCACCTGCTTTATCCCTGAAACCCTCCCTTCTTTTCCTGCACATACTCTGCCTCATTCGCAATGCACTTTCCAACTTCCACAACAAATGAGTCAGGGGGCCTATAGGCAACAGTCTCCTTCACTACACTACCCTGCTTCATCCCCAGAGCTTGTCCAAACTTTGTGCTGAATGACGCAGGATCCCAAGGGAAAAAAAAAGTATGAGATCATGAAATTAAAGTCTGTATCATAATGCAGATGCACAGAATGACCGAATTAAAACCGTATAAGTAGCTTTAATTCTGGCACTTCCTAACTTTTGAGCCTTTGACTTTGCAACCTTAATAATGGTCTTAACATAGATTTTTTGTTTGTAATAAATATTACAGTTTGGTTTAATCAAAGAGGCTGAACATGCATAAAGATAAATAAAGTGTGCAATTTACCTCAGCTCCACCCATCCATTTTGGCTCATCAGGAAATTCAGCACATAAAACATCTTTTGACTGGTCTGTCCCAAGGATGTGGTAAAACAGCTTCTGGTGCACATTAGTGGAGGTCTCCGTGCCTGGTATAATTCAGAAGGGAATTATTTAATTTTCATTAACACCATAAACTTTTTGCAAGCTTCTCTGCCTCCGTACACACACTTGTGTTGAACGGAGTTTATCAAGGATTGCAGCCGGATAAGGGTCAGCAGCCATTCTTATTCTCACTACACAAGAAGGGTGTGTATTCGGGGGAGAAGCAGGTATGACAAATATTGCTAATTTCAGGACTCATTGTTTCATGCTCCATTTTCTGGAAGCTATCAGCAACTGCAAACATTATTCAAGGAGTCGAAAGTATCTGAGTAGGTTTTGGCATCATGTAACATGAGATGCCATTTACAGTCATCCCTTTTAATAAGTAAGATATTTAGATGTTTAGTAAGATAATATCCTAGCGATACCAATGTTATCAGTTAGTGTTCATATAATAACAATACTTGCTGAAAATCAAGAAGTGATATTTTAAGGCTTTGCATGAAGTGCTAGATAAAGTTTGGGATAGGAAAATAGGAATCCATGCCATTAGATTTTGTTTAATCAAATCAAGGTAAAAAAGAATATTGGCCTAGTAATTTTTGGGCATTTAACATTTAGGCTGCATTTCCTGTTTTTTTTTTCCTTTTTCTTCTCATTAACCATTTGTTTGCTTTAAATGTTCAGGAGTGACAGACAGATGCAGTTTAGTCAGTAACTCAATCCTTACCAAATACTTCTAGATTTACACTACAGCACTGCTATGTGATTTTTTAACTTCTGAACTTAGAGCATTATTTCAATGCAAAAAGGACAAGGCAAGGTACCAAATTTGGAAGTTTGTCCAAATTATAGTTCCATTGCAGTTGAATGTGTAAAAATTAAGAGAAAGACTAGCTCCCAGTATGTTTAACAAAAAGTGCTTGGTACAAGATCTTCAAAAACCTCACTGTGGAAAGAAAAATGAGTAAATTTTTTTTTATTATAAACAAAGGACAAGAAAGGAGAGACAGGAAAAAAACCACTTATAAAGGAAAATCATGTATATGGATTTAGGCCCTGATCATTCAAAGACTTACACACCTTTACCACGATGATCAGGGAACGCATATGTACGTTAAGTCTTTGCAGGAATGGAGAGTGCAGTATACAGTACTTGTAGAAGTAGCAATCTCAGAGGGGAGTGAGTATCAAGAGGTCAATCAATATTCTACACATTTCTCAACTGCCTAAGGAAATTTCCTGGGGCAACTTGTCATGGATGTGGTTAAACAGTGCTCAAGTAAAACAATTTTTTAGCCACTATTACACCCACCTCTTGAAAAAAGGGGTTATTTTTCTCCACTGATTCAAGGTATACTTACCATCACTTTTCCCATCTTGTTTTGGATAGCAGTTGTAGAACATGCCTTTTCCATCATGGGTCCAAGCCATGCAACTGAATTTAACCCTTTCCAGCGTATCTGGAAGCTCTTCAGGACCGTCCACTTTCATAAACTTGATAGTTACCCAGTCTGAGCCACTGGAACTCAGACCATAAGCAAAGTATTCACCATCTTCACTGAATGCATAACCTATAGATAAAGACAAACAAATGCCTGGGTCACTCTTTCTATTTGGCTGCACAACTTTCTACCATTTGCCACAGACAGACAGAAGTATGTCACCAGTTTAAAGTTGAAAAGCATTAAAAAAAATAACTTTCACTTTTAAATAAACATTTAGAGCACACTTTTTTTTTTTTTTTTTTTTTTAAACTACTGAAGTA